ATGGCACGGAGGCGCTCCAGTACAACTGGCTCGTCGTCGCCGTCGACCTTGAGCAGTTCGGCGGCAAGGAGGTCGGGACCAACCGCCTTCCAGTTCCCCAGGCCTTTCGTCGCCGCCTCAACCTCCTCGAGGTCTGGTACCGCCGCCAGGTGTCGGGTGGCGCGCGTCGCTGGTCGCTGCATCACCTGTTCGACAACGTCTGGGTTCAGAGTGGGGGACTTGGAGTTCAGGAGGGTATTGAAGAATCTCCGCCACCGCTTGAGGATGGCATCCTTGTTCCGGAGTAGCACGCCGTTCTCGTCTGTAACGAACTGCTGCCCCCCAGCTTGTCTCCCGCTGAGGCCCGTTGACCGCTTGAGGTGTTGGTACAGCTCCGCATGTCGCGGTCCTGGTAGATCGCTTCGAGCTCCGTCACGTATCTTTCCAGGTGGTCGTAGATGCTCGTTGCGATTGTTTCGGAAACCGATGATCTTTCGGGCAGCGGAGAACAAACGGCGTTATGCTGCTGTTCAGGAATCGATTACCGCGGGCTTCAACGCGTCCCGCGGTCAAAAGACGGCAAGGGAAGGGTAAGGGTAAAGGTTACGGGATTACCGGATTACCTTGAGCATGAATATCCCGTACGCGGCGCTCGCAAAGCGCATGTACCTCGCGGCCTCCTTACCGACAGCTTCATCACTCGGCAAAAGGTTAGCCTTCAACCTGTCAACAGGCGACGCCAGACGGGAATTATATACGGGAAAGACGAGAAAAAGGATGATGAGAAAGCATTCATTCATTCTGTCGTCGACACTCTTTCATTGGCAATTTCAAACGACCCAGCCTACTCTCTGCAAGCGTTGAGCGAAGTGACAACACTGAAACAGCAGCCAGCAGGTACGGGTTCACTAAAGCCACAGGCAGCCTGCGAGCCTATTGCGAACCAGCGCGGCGTTGTCCGGACCCGAATCGACAGACAGACAGCGGAACGGTCCACGGATTTGGCCATGACAAAAGGACCATCTTACCACTAAACTAGGAGCAAACGCTTCTTGAGGACACCCGCGACGCGTGTCCGAACCAGAACTCAAACCAACAGACAAAAAAACAAACACAGCACGATCGATCGATCGGCCCGCACGTGCAAGGCGAGCACGCCAGCCTCCGTGACAGGCACTTACCCAGCCTTGGGTGGGGCTTGTAGTGACGCGGCTCTCTCGTGGACCGTGTTGAGAACTAAAAGGTTGACCTACGGGTGGCAGCAACATGAAAAGAAGCAGAGTGGAGCGAGAGATGGGCGGGATAACTGAAGAGGCCAGGAGGTGGGTTTCGTTTCGCACCAGTTCATCTCTATCAACACACAAGAATCCACGATACATCAACAGGGAATTCATGGTTGCATAACCCAGTTGTGCTTCTACTGACCTACCTCCGTTACGGAATCAACCCGCAGGGAACCTGTTGAATACCATTTCACAATCTGTTCGTGTTTAAGTTAGTGGTGCAGGGAGATATTCATACTGTAAAATATCTCACCAAGGCGTTGGGAACCCGATCTCTCTTCCAATCCCACTTTACGTCGGTGCGAAGGTCTCTCTCGAACGCCGTCACTACCCCCTTGATACTCTGCAGCGCTTCTCCCAGTTCTGGGCTGATGAAAGAGCCTGGACATGTTATGGTAGATGTTGTAGGGTAGTGTCAGCACCAAGGGCTCTCACTGCGGGCATTCAGCAAGTGAGATCGTGACCTCGTAATTGTAGTAATGTTTTACATCAGGATTACCGTTGTACTATACGAATACATACACACATCATCATGTGCCCCCCTCCCCAATGCTTGAGCATTCCGTCCTTCGAGTCTTTCACATGCGATCATCGGCCCACCTGTAGCCTACCTCGTACTTGTGCACGTCTACGGCTTTCGCACCCATTTTTTGGAACAATAGTGCGTGCTATACGTACACCTCCAATTCCTCGATGACAATCCCCGTGGTTTGGGAAGATGTGCGTAGAAGAAGAGCAACCCGTGGTATCCTACCTTAAGTCCAAGCTGGGTTCAGGTAGGATTCCCTGCCCGTACTTCGCTATGCTGTCAAGCACATGCTACGTCGGCCGCCGCCGCCGCCGCCGCCGCCGCCGCCGCCGCAGCAGCAGCAGCAGCAGCAGCAGCAGCAGCAGCAGCAGCAGCAGCGACCATACTCATAAGAAAAATATGGTGGACACCGCGCGGCTGGAAGGTTTTGTTTTGTTGTTTTTTCTCCCATCATTGGATTCTGTCGTCTGCCCTTCTGGCCCCTATCCTCCACTTCTATCAGCTAGACGACCCAACCGGGGTCACATAGGAGGGGGGGGTTGGACCCCCTCCCGCGGTTCCTGCCTGAGATATTTCTATCGCGAGAAGGGTACAGCAATCCCTTCCCTCGCGACTTATGAAGTCGATCAAATTTACTAACAACGAGCTTTGCAGCGCGTCGCTTCCAACGGAGACCAGGATTTAATAAGCGAGAAAAAACTCACTCTGTCGGGACTCGAACCCATGACCTGGCCCTTAGCAGGCTACGAGGCTACCCACTAGACCACTGGGGCGACAGGAAGGTATGATCATGTGTCGAATCCGTTCGGTTGGGGTACGCAAATTCGTCAGCGAGCCCCCCACGCCCGCCCTTCTCCCGCCAACGCCACCCTTGCCCTTTCCTCAACTTCCCCGGTACAGCAGTATCTTGGCTTGCTCGAGTTGTTAAATACGCGAGAGGGGTAGCCCACCCTCGCCACGCCCAAATACATGGGGCCTCCCCAAACCTGGACCACCCATCCCTGCGGCAGTGATGTGTGATGTGTTTACACATCGACCTGCCGCAGGGATGTGTGGTGCAACTTGAGGGGGACCCCATCTACCTGGACGTGACGAGCGGGGGCTAGCCCTCCCGCGTATTTAACAGCTCGAGCAAGCCCAGGGCTAACGTATGGTGAGCAGCGCACATTGATATCAACGGTTTGATTGGTGATACACTGGTGAGTGTGCTGAGAGCAACAAATAAAACGTGAATGAACTGCTTTCCTTTCATCGTGCCTAGAACGTTATCTCTTCCAACATTTTTTTTTAGTCAACCGTTAGTTTAGGGTTTTCCGAAGTGCCCGAAGCTCTGATGTATATCTCGCCCCCATTTCGAGGAAGAAGAGGGTGGACTATGGTAGGTTCCATGACGTAAGATACCACACCCCCTGGAGCGATTTTCAAAGCTCGATTACTCCACGACCAAGAGGATGCCGAAGGCAAGCGATACATGTTCGGAAAGCTCTGACGCCACAGTTCTAACTCCACCATTTCGGCATGGTCATTACTTTCCCGAGTAATCAAGATATGTAAATCGGCCCAGGGGGTGTGATATCTTATGCAACCTACGGTCTGTCCACCTTGTGCTTCTTCTTACACACTGCATGCATATATAGAGGTAATTAATTTTACGGGAATCGGGATCTTCAGGAATGGGTCGCTCACAGCGCAGCGGGGCGATTCGACCCCCTCTGAAAACAGTACGTTAACTTCGCGCCCTCATAGCGCGCGCCCAGACGCACGGGGAGACTGGCGCCTTCGCACGGTGGCACCTGGTGGCCTAGCGAACAGAATGACTCATTTCGCGCGGTCCCGATTGTGCCCGCTGAGTTGGGAATCAGTGTCGTGAAAGCGCGCTGAAACCCGCAGAACCGACGTCTTTCGCCTTCCGTTCGCAAAAAGGTGACAGTCCCGTTTTGCGGGGTTTTGGTATTTAGGTTGGTGTGTTGCCGGCAGGGAGAGAAAAAACACGAACACCCTCAATAGCCAGCACGTACTACCGTCTATTCACCTCTAGTGGGGTTTGTAGCAAGGGCAGTTTTCACGTAGTAGGTCGATCACAGTTTCTGAGCAAGCATAACGAAGCCGCTCAACGAAGCCGGGAGCGTGTAGCCCTCTCTGCTGCTGTGGGTTCTGGATCATTAGTTGGGTCAAAACTTCGCCCAAACTTCTGGAAGTAAAGATAGATTCGTTTTNTCCGATCTCTCTCTACCCAGTACCTTCGTATGTCCGTACTGATACAACACTGAACGCGGTCGATTCCCGTGGTCGCAGGCTAACTTACCCATAAAAGGTACACTCAAATAAAATGGCCCCGAGGGGTCCGCAAGTCAATAGAAATCAACGACAGATATTCTGGAGTCCTCCACTCCCTCTGCGCGCTATGCGAGGTAACAACTGAGACTAGGGGTCACCATCACGGGCCGGAGAGAATGAGGTACACCCCCTTGGTTCAATCTTGGTACTTCACAACGCAAGCAGAAACAAGGCCATCTGGTGTGCCTCGACGTGAAAGACTGCCCCGACGGTCGGCTCGCGGTCCGCACGAAGCGTGTCTTCATTTATTGAGTAGTCCTGTTTTTTTTTTTTCTTCTTGCGCCTTTTTCCAGGTTCTTGCACGTATTGTTCTGCGTCATATTTTCCTCCTGTAGTTCTGGGCTTGCGTTGTCTTCCCATGCGCACCTATTTCTACTGTACATTCGTTTGTAAGTAGTCAAATCTGATTTTTCTTTCGTTTGGAGTACTTCTGCGAAGTCTCGGCCTTCTTATCTAATATATATTTTGTGTTCCTCCATCTGGCCCCTCTGTCATGCGACACTCATCCTTCCCATCAAATACAACACTCCCGCCCTTGGCATCCAGCCTCACCCACCATCCACACCACTTCCCTTCCACCACCACCTAGACACAGCAACCCAGAGGACGGGGGGCCGATAGGCCCCCCACGTCCGGAGACCCTTTATATATAAATATATATATACTTGGTATTTTTTTTTTTCTCCCATCATTGGACCCTGTCGTCTGCCCCTCTGGCCCCTATCCTCCACTTCTACTAGCTAGACGACCCAACCGGGGTCATATAGGAGGGGGGCGCTGGACACCCTCCTGGGGTTCCTGCCTGGGGTATTTTTATCGCGAAAAGGGTACACAGCAATCCCTTCCCTCGCGACTTACGAAGTCAATTATGGTTCACTAACAACGAGCTTTGCAGCGCGTCGCTTTCATCCTTGACTAGGATTTCTTCAGTGGGAAAAAAATTCACTCTGCTGGCACTCGAACCCATGACCTGGCCCAAAGCAGGCTGCGAGGTTTCCCACTAGACCACCGGGGCGACTATATATACAGCAGTGTTCGAGTACACCGCAAAGGTACGCTGCCAGTGGAAGTTGGTACCTTACCACCGTACATTGGGTCGCGTAAGATACCACACCCCCTGGACCGACTCTTCAAACCCGCTTCACAAACCAAGAGATGCCAACGCAACGACACGTGTTCGAAAAGGTCTCCACGAGAGAGTTCTTACATTCCTACGCTGCCCTTTCCGGCACCGTCACTGCTCTTGATGCCGAGTAATCGGGCTTTGAACATCGAAAGTTGGTCTAGGGGGTATCTCACGCAACCTGCAGCGGTGCTACTTGCCAGGCACGCTGCTGTTTCTTGCTCAAAAATCGTTTAGCAGCGAAAGCAAAGAGATGCCCGTCTTTAAGTCTTTCTCACGTGTGATCTGGTTAAGGAGGCGAGTGTTCTCCGCCCATTCCCATCCCGCGTAAGCGGCAGGGACACCGAGCAGGGTGGAAATTAGCCCGACTGCAACCGTCCTCTTCCTCGAGGCAGACATGCGTGTGCCTGCGTCCTGATGCTGGTAGCTGCCCGACCTCTTACGTTTGAAGGGAGTGCTTCATTGCAGCCCCCCGCTCAACCCCTTGTCCTTCTCCGCGTCCCCGGCCTGTCAATACAACGGCACCTCTTCGGCCCTTAAATGCCTGGCACGGCGCGGTCTAACTGGTCTCTTTGAGGGGGCTCGTGAAGCGCAGGGCTCGATGCACCACGCCCCCTCCCCCCTCTCCCTTTCAGGCCAGTTTGTTTGTTCGGTACCCTTTTTACTTTTGAACGAGTTCAAAATATCGAAGTGAGCAGCTGGCAGCGGGTCACTAAACGTCGTCTTGTCTCTTGTCTTGCACAGAACGTACCTCACCCCCCTATAGTACTGCTGTGAGCTACACAGCTTGGGGGACGTATTAACAATCGGCAGCGCTAACAGCAAGCTGTGGGCTGGGTACCCCAGGGACGTCCCGATTTTGTCCAATCCCCTTTTTTGTTTGGGGGCGGGGTACCATTCCATCTTACTGACACACACAGACATTTTTTGTTTTTATGCATATGCAGAGCGGTCGATGTCAAATTTGATATTTGAAGACATCATGGACATGGAGACAAAATATTCACACACCGCATGCTTCTTCGCTCTTGCAGACATTGAACGACGGCTGACAGCAGCCATGCCCGCCTAGCACACAGTTCTGGCCACCCGTCAGCATACTACGCTGACGCTCCATTTCTAGTCTGGAGAGCACTCAAGCAGCGGCGAATTATGACGGGGAGGAAGCAGATCCTGTTCGCCAGGTCGCCTCTGCTGGGCGCGCTGGGTGGAGAAGACTGGCGACAGAGGATGACCTCGCCAGGCTTGCAACACGGGAAGGTGTTGCTTGGGTTTGCAGCTGCGGGCACAACTTCGGCACCGCTGCGACTACCACGGCCGAAAACCTCGATGTGCAAAGCGGTAGGCTGTATGTATCGAAAAATTCGTGGATCGACTTTGACGATCCGTCCAGGGGGGTGTGGTATCTCGTGTCAGTACATAGACATTACGTAGCAGTAGTGTTACCGCATTTCGAGGTATGTGATCGTGGTTGCTCATGATTATTTGGCGCCGCCGGGTGCTAAGATGTGACGTCATGTTAGATCAGGCCTTTATGCCGAGACATGTGCCCTTCTGTTCAGTGTGTGCGTGCAGACGATACATGACGTGTGTGCGTGGGATGTTGTGAGTTGGCTTGGAAGTCGTTAATCAAAAGAAAGAGAACAACGGAGAGCAACAACCTGCTACTTACAACTGCTGTGGTCGGACACGAGAGTTCCACACAGGACAGAAGGTGGTTGATTCTGAAGGACAGGGTCAAATACCATTACAGTAGACTGCACGTGGTATCAACTTGCTTTTTTTCTTCGCGTCCGGAGAGTACACACTTGCTCCTACTGCTGTCTGCATAGACTATACGTAGACTATACCTATGTTAAATTTCGTCGAGCAAGGTCGAGCCTCAATATCTTACCAGAAAATTGCCATCCATGTGGTCTAACCATAGAATATATTCTAGACTTTGCATGCGATACCTCCATATTTGGCATATGTATTTCGTCACCACCGCCGCCGAGTACAAGATTTATACAACGACAGGAGTACAGCAGTAGTGTGCGATCGTCGGCTGCGCGGTGTTTATCAACTTAACCTGTTGTGGAAGAAGCTGAAATATTTCTCTATTTGTTCCTGAACATTTGAGCCTTTCATTCTTGAATACAACCCGGTTCGAGATATTGCGCCTTTCGAAAGGTAGGTGTGTTGAAGTCGGCATAGAGTGAGTGTTGAGGAACACCTGCTGGATGCTGGACATATTTGACACTGAAAGATGAGTACGCCAGCTTGCACAAAAACATCTTCACACTTGAAACAAAAACGCGCGAAAGAACCAAAATCTGACCGCCCCTCACCCCCCCCTTGAAAGATAAAATCAATACTTCAGTAATTAATACGGTACGGAGAACGAACAGAACGAACGCCCCATCATCGAGACCTATGCATATCAATGTTTTGAATGTAACAAGTTTGAGGCTAAGCAAATGTTGTACGTTGATTTTGCCAATCCCCTTTTGGTCCAGCACTCTCGAGGCAGCTACAAAGTGCTTACAACTGGCTATGGAAGGGAAAGCAACAGAAAATAAATTAAGTCATATGCAGCTGTCATTCGTACGCAAGGAAGTAAGCACAAGATGCCGAACACCCTTAGCAGGATGCAGCGCACCCTTCATGCGACTCGCCGAATACCTCACGGCGCTTCGCGCTTGGTGATGTGAGAGCCTGGTCCGGTGAGAACCCGGCGTGCTCCGTCCCGGCTTTGTAGGGATGCGAGGTCAATGGTCTAACGACTACGGCATGCACGACTATGAGTACACCCCCCCTCCCAACGCTTAATTTCCGCCCTTCGTGTTGGGCATACATGTCCAATCTCGGTGCCACTCTCGAGTGTAGCGACCCCCCGAATGCAGCGAGCGACAGTTTGGAGTGTAACTTCGCATGTATGTATTAATGTGCTTCGCGTTGGCGGCGGGTTTGATGTTTTCCTGTCGCCTTTTCTTGGCGTGATGAGCCTCGGTGTGGACACCCGTGTGATGGGCAATTTCCATCGTTGCGCCTCAGTATAACGAAAACGAAATTTATAATTCCCTTGTCATCGGTTTGGCAATCATTGGCAGACGAAGCTGGCCAATAAGCAGAGACTCGCTAAGAAACACATGGAACTCTCGAGGGGGGCGGCGATGTTACGCGCTTGGCTTATACCCAAGGAAGCTGCCGTAGCCTCGCCCCACGTCGCCAGTGGTGCACAAGCGCGGCGGCAAGGGGCGGGCTCTGGAGTTGCGTGTGTGGACGGGGTGAAGAACGAGAGCCTTCCTGAACCGGCCGGCGCAGGCGACAACAAGCAGCAAGTCTTGGACCTTCTGGCCGTTGTTTCAAGTCCGGGAGCCAGTAACTCCTTGACGGAACAGGCCAGGACGCCCTCCAGGAAGCGGTCAGGCGATAACCACCAAGGGGCGAGGGGAGCGGCGCGACCGCGAACATCCGAGGGTGGTGCTAGCGGCGATGTCGGTGGCAGCACCCCACCAGCAACAGGGAAACCTCGTCATGGTGGCGATGTTGTTCGGATGTAGGGATCTTGAGCAGCAGTGCACGACATGAAAATAATCAATGTTGACGGGTTTTTTTCTTCGCAACAAACACTTTTTTTTGTGCTGTTAGGTCACTTGGAAACAGAGGAAGCTAGATGGAAGCGAACATGACTTGTACAAATGGGTGTTAGTCGATGTTTGTTTACATGTTTTTTCTTGCGGCTTCAATCACTCGGTCATTTCGCATCGTTCGCGGACAGACGCAGCCGTCCAGACAGGCAACGTTATCGCATGTATATGGTAACTGGTATGCAAGCGGGTCGATTTACGTGTCAAATCCTTGTTCCGTGCGCGTAGCTGCTACAGCACTGGATGGAACAGATGTTTGAGTGAGTGCAAAGAGAGGAACAAGGGGAGGGTAGAACCCGGTCCGGTGTGTTTTGCATCGTCCTGTGCTGCATACCGTCTACACTACCATTACCAATAATACTTGCTCTGGAGCTCCGGAGGTATTATCGGTATTATGATCAACTGTTTCCCGAACAACTTTTATAACTCGTTTCGGCGAGGAGGACGGAAAAATACTCGCCGCCGATAATCTCTTCCCATTATATCCACCATGCCAAGATTCCGGTTGGCGGAAAACAAGCTACTACTGCATATTGTAACAGTGGTGTTAGCATTATCGACTGAGTAAGGTGGTTTTCTCATCATGCCTCAGCGTAAAAACAACTGGCTGGCTAGGGTCCAATTAGTTTTGGTTAGTTTCATGGTTATTATATAGTTTCGTGGGGATCTTAACATTTGAGCCAAGGGGGGGCTAGCAACGGGGGTCTAGTCAAGGCGGGTCTGGCAAGGGGGGACTTATCAAGGCGGGTCTAGCAAGGGGGGACTAATCAAGGCGGGGCTACCTATGCATCGACTCACAGACTTGTTGCTCTTAGCAGTAGTCAAAGTTCCTTTCTTCAAGCTTGGCCGTGCTAACAGTGATGATGAGTGGTTGAGCACCTCCAACACGAATGAGACGGAACCATCAGGTACACCCTAAGGTATACCCTAGCCTTCCTCAAACCATCGCAAGATGGAATGACTCTCAATATTTACCGCCGTTCATGCTACCGTGGACAAATATCTACCTAGCTAGCTAGGTCGTAGTGTTTCTATTGTCATTACTACATGCATTCTTGGCTTGCTTGTTGTACAACAAATACTCGAGAGTTATTCTACATAATACATACATGTCGAACACAACAACAGTACAATTAATTTCATGTGGAACGCAAACGTGCTGCAGGGATTGTAGGTGTGCCTCTTCGGGCTTGTTGAGTAGACTACCCTTTTCTTGCTAAATAGTGTGTGTGTTCTTTAGATCTTCTGATGGCTCTAGCGTTTTTGTGACGACCACGGACCGAGCCTTTGCTAGATTTTGGGATTAGCAACTGACACGATTTTAATATGAAGACAACAACAATGGAACGCAACATACATCCGATCCGTCTGTCTGGAGTATGCTCAATGAGCAACAACAGTCATTGGGTGATGATGTATAGAACATTATGCATACGATGAACGCTTAATACAGGCAGGAAGACAGGAGGACCACCCAGTCCATAGTCCAGTCCAGTGCATCAAGCCCTCACGACTTTACGAGCCTTATTTTTTAGTTTTCCCATTACGACCCAAGCGAATCCATCTCTATCCAAGAAAAGAGTCTAAGATCGATCATCAATGAATCCATAGCGTCAGCGAAGGCTACTTGTATTGTCCGTCTTTTCGAGGGGGGGGGCGCAAGTGGTGGCACGACGGGGAGGGGAAGGGGATGACAGCTGTGCGCTAATACTTCAGCTGTGTACCAATCATTTCAAATGCTGTTTGTCGCCGAGATGCAGGGTGCACTTCAGTGTAGACTACACGGTGTTTGTTTTTTTTCGGCGGTGTCGCGAAGATCTTGCTACCCTACGGATGTAGACTAGACTATTTACAGAGGTCCCTGTTTAGTGTTCGATGTGCCCAGAAAATTCGCCGGCAATACCGGACCGGCCCTATCAAAGTACTGACAATGACTTGGAAATTCAGTGTGTGCTCGCCAAAAACACCGGCACTTTACCGCATTGGCGCTATTCAACCGGCACTTAACAGGGACCCACTCTGTAGTCAAGTATTCCTCGTGGCGTACGTACATGGGTCGAAGAGATATTTTTGGCGGGGTCCCTTGTAGTTCTCGTCACACGGCTGAGAGGACGCCCCCATGTTCAGCAAGAGCTGTGCTTTGACCTGTGGTGTTGCTCCACCCGGTGAGTAAATGCCAGCGCAGAGGCATTAACAAAATCCAAAAACAAGAATTGGGCTTGGAAGTTGTCACGTATGGACTACGTTTTTTTTCCTCCGTCCAGTTCGACGGTATTTACTTACTTCACGCTTGGCAACAACAGGAGAAGGGCGTGGACACGGTGTACAGAACATCGTCTTGTCACGTCATCAAACCAGAACCTTTCGCGGCGTCCCGCCGATCGTCGCGACACGATTGGCTGCAAGGATCACCCAACCCATTCACACTTTACACTAGGGTGCCATCCCCCCTGACACTACTACTAGTTGAAGCGGGTGAATCCGTTCGAACTTGAGACTAAAGGTGGAGAAATGCATCACGGGACAAAAATCAAGCAATCGACAAATAATGTAACCTGGAGGCAAACAATCCCCAAGATGCAAAGGCGATCAACATCGATTGTTCTGGGCACACCCCTCCCTATATACTGTTCGCTACAACGTCATACCCCGCACCCTGTCCTCATGGAAATGACACGCTGGAGCTTGGATCAACGCCATGCCAAAAACTCAGGTACGGAACGAACTACTTGTAGGTTGTATTGGCTATTGAGTTCTGCCAGCCCCGCCAAACAGGGAAGCGAACAGCTCCGAAGGTTCCATCGGGGGTGTCTCATACTCCTGTCGCAGAGACGCATCATTGACGCACGAAAAAGCGGCAACCATTGAGCGTGATGGGGGTGTGTGTACTCATAGTCGTGCATGCCGTAGTCGTTAGACCATTGACCTCGCATCCCTACAAAGCCGGGACGGAGCACGCCGGGTTCTCACCGGACCAGGCTCTCACATCACCAAGCGCGAAGCGCCGTGAGATATTCGGCGAGTCGCATGAAGGGTGCGCTGCATCCTGCTAAGGGTTTTCGGCATCTTGTGCTTACTTCCTTGCGTACGGATGACAGCTGCGTATGACTTAATTTACTTTCTCGTGCTTTCACTTCCAGAGACAGTTGTAAGCACTGTGTAACTGCCTCGAGGGTGCTTGACCATTTTAACACAACGTGGTGCGATCATCCCCCTTGCGCGGAGTGAGGGTTCTCCACCCCGCACAACATGATCTACTCGACCACCATTATGGTTACCGCCAAAAAAAAAAACGGAGGTAAAAAAAAAAAACGGTAACCTGGTTGCCGAGTTCACGAAGTGAATTGGCTTGTTTTACAACGTCGTTGCCAAGCGACGAAAACCCAACCCCGATGGCAAACACCGGGGGCCGGAAGCAGAAAAAATAGCGAGTTGAAGCAAGCAAGACGCCCGCGCACGACTACACTGCAGCTGTGCGGATCGCCACAGCCCTACACGTGGATACACAAACTACCGCAAGGCCGGAAGTGGGTCCTTCTCGTAGAGCAGTTCAGGGATCCTCCCGGCAGGCAGAACCGACCTCACCGGTCATCGACCCCTCTTGATGCGCGTAACTCCGAACGTTTCCAGCAGAGCAATCAAGAGCACCGCAAACACAGACAACGTCAAAGCCCACCCCTTCACGTCACGTAGAAACGAGGAAGCTACTGTTCCTCACCTGCGGGAACATGAAGTTCTGCATCTTAGGGTGCGTGACGTACTTGATCTTGCGCCCTTTGGACGCTTTCCGGTCCACGCTCTTCTTTCGCGATTTCCGTCGGATGGGAACCGCGGAGTAACCGCTGCCGGCGGTCCCGCTGGCGTCCATAAACTCCTGACAAACCACAACGAGGTAACACGCGTGCATGTGCACCAGTACATGGCAAGTGCGTGTTAAGAGTGGCACACAGTGCTGGCGACCGCTTCGTGAGCGAACGGTGAACGAAAACCTTCGTCCAACGCAGTGCAAGGCAGAAGAATTCAGGTTTGCAAGGAAGCCGAACTCTAACTCCAACACTAGGCATAGTCTAAGCGTACAGGAGTGAGCGCGAAGCTGCTGTCAGGCTTCGAAGCTCTAGAGTGCTACTGGTAGTCCCCCCCCTCCGAGATGTTTCAAGGGGCATTCCCGATGCAAATACCGCTCCTATCCCGTTCCACCTCCCCTGGGGTTGAAATCTTAATCTTGTACTTCTACAAGGTACACAAAATGCAGAACGCGCCTCTCTCCTAAAGTTGTCTCTCCTACACATGCTTGAATGGAGGTCCAGTAGGGGGGCTTTGTGTCCCCCCGGGGTACGTATTGGTACTACCTTCATCCCCGGGGATCCGGGGAAACATGACGGACATTCCCGGTCGATCAGTAACGTGGAACACCCGGGAATGACGCGTAGTAATCCCCTCCGGACAAAATGCACACACGTACACACCCTCGCCGATCAAAATAATTGCGGAAGACACTGTGTTCCGAAGGGTCTGTTTTGGTTGTTTCACTGCCGCAGCAGCCATGACAAGGACCCTGGCGAAGCACCTTTCAAACACGCCGTCCGATACCCGATATGGGACATCGCGGAACAAAACGCGGGAAGTATTCGGAGGTTGTCCGTTCCCCGGCCCGGCATGGGCCTAAGACAACGAGTACTTGAAGTGCACACCAGATCGATCCACGTCAACAGCTCTTGGCAAACCAGTCTGGCTTGTTTCGCGAACTGCCACATATGGCATAACCCCCAGGACCAACACCGCAAGTTGGAATCGACCCGGCCAAGACGACAAACAACTCAACCAAGTCCGAGGCGTGACCAACTTGCAACACAAACAGTCGAGTGATATGTACCGTGCGACGACATGCAACGCCAAAACTCGACTGCTAGATACCTTAAGTAGACAACAACACCATCACCAGCACTTGACTGCTAGATATCTTGAGCAGACACGCGACACAAACACTCGACTAACACCTTGAGTAGACATGCAACCAGCATCGACCTATGTACCTTGAGTAGGTGCTGGTACAGGTTGCGGTCATCAAGAACCTCCAGGTCGAGGGGCTCGGCTCCATCTTTTCGTCTTACACGCCCGACTACGTCTTCGTCGCCCTCATCGTCACTCCCCCCCGCCGCTGCCGCCGCCGCCGAGCCAGCGTCGCCGTCGCCTTTGGCCGCGTCGAGATGCTTGGCGAGTTTTCGTCCAAGAAACTCCGATGTCTGCGTCGCATCATGCGGGAAATGTCACGATACGGTGGGCGGAGCCGCAGGAGAATTGACACGAGGGTTAGGGGAAAGAAATCGGACGTGCCAAAGCCGCGACAAAAACAACATATTTGTCCAACGTACAGCAGTAGTGTTTTTTTGTTGTTGTTTGAACCATGAAGACGGATCTAGCAGCTAGCTCATCAGAAGGTCAACGAACATTAGGCTGTCCACATGTTCGGCGACGTACAACCCGAGGTATTGGATAGTTACGCTCCACGAAAAGGCTCTCATCATGGATTGACCAAGTGTCAAAACCCACCACTCAACGAACTGCAAATGTTGCTTCCAACACCGGCACCGTTGACAGCTCGCCATGACGGACGCCCGGGAATAAGAAGGGATACGTCGTACCGAACCTGTACAATCACCTGTTGTGCGTTAACCGCAGACCACCGTGGTGTACCACAAAAGAAAAGACTCGACCCTCCAGGGAAGGCGCCCGATGCCATGGTAACACAAGAGCGGTTCGCTAACGGTAGAGCATAAACACAACAATGCCTTCAACGTCAAAAATCTCGGCTCCCCAACCACCACCTTCTTCGCAGGTCCGTGGGGACCAAAAAACACAGTCCATGTACCGATCAAATGTCACCCAGGACAACACACAGCAAAACAAAAGTGGAATCCAACAAAATTCACCTCCAGTACACCCTCACGCTACCTAACCTATCCCACGCACCTCCGACTCCGTCATGAAGGACCTCCGGTTCGCCCGTTCTCTGTCGGCCAAGCTCGCGGTGATCTGCGCCCACGGCCCCTGGTTCACCACCTTAAACTTCTTCTGCAGGCCAGGGTCGACGAGCTGCGTCCTCTCGTGCCATCGCCCTAGCACGCCGCTCCACCACCCCATGCAACTCCTGTGCTCCGTCGCCGCCACTGCCTCCTCGCCCTCGGCATTACCCTCGGAGGTGGTGGTCGGGCCCTCGCCTTTGTCCTTGCCGTGATCGTTGCCTACTTTCTGCTCATCGTCGTCATCGGTGACCATCGCTGCCGTGCCGTCATCGCCACTACCGCCGCCGCTGTCGCCGCTTTTGCTGTTGGCGATTCCCCAGCACGACATGTGCGATCGCCGTACTGCTGACAACTGGGTGGCCAATCCTTGCGCGGCGCCTGCGCTTTCCTCGGCGAGAGCTGTCAGCTCCTCGTCACCCTCCAAGAAGAGAGGGAGCTCGTTCGGTCCTGAGGTTCGGAGAGAACGGAATATTCGGTAAATACTACTAGTAGGCTACGGGCACCTTAATGAATGGGATGTGTATGCAACGGGAGAGTCGGCAAAGGCACGCAAAAACCAAGACGGAGGTGCCGGGGGGCACGAGGATAAAACCTGGACCCGCCCACTATAATAGCAGCCAGGCTTGGAGGAACAGAACGGGGGTTACACGTTAGGGGACGTCTGCAGACGCAAGAAACGGTGTCCGCACGGGAGAGAGCGACGTCACCGCCCGGGAAAGCAAGCCCCCCCCTCCGCCGATTGCTGTGCATCTTTCTTCGTAGGATTCCGCGCCGAAAGTCGCTGGTTAGTCCAGCCTTACGAGACAAGAAGGACGGCTGTGCTGCTAGCTATGCTGTATACTCTAGCCGGGTCACCTGGCAACTTGTTGGCTGCGTTCATGAGGCGCTGCAGTAAGATTCGGACTTCGAGCAAGCTATCCCACCACTCCCGCTGCCTGAACGAGGGAAGAGCGGAACACGAAGAGACCGTGACAAAAAGAAGGGGGTAGATGGTAGGCGAGCGGAGGAATAACTTAAGGGGGGAGGAACGCCACCAAGAAATGACAATTCTTCCGGTCGTTCGTTCGATATCTAACTAAGGCCGGTGAACCTCTTCTGGTTTGAACAAATCGGGGTCCACCGCCAATACCAAATGGAACCTCTGTGGGGAACAAGAACCGCGTGCGGTCTGCGAAATTCAAAGCTCACCTGAGTGCCTCCCTGGCTCGCCGAAGCTCTCCCTGCCCCGCAACACCCCCGCCGTCCGTCCTGGCCTTCTCATCTTGCTCATCAAGCTGCTTCATCTGCTCCTCCACGGAGGCACCCGTGTCCACGTCCCCTCCCCTCACACCGGCAAACACGCTCGCCTGCTGCTGTCTTTGACGCTTGCCCCCGTCAGCGCCCCCCCCCCCTCCGTCATCTTCATCCAACTGCCCACCCCAGTGGACGCGCTTCCCTGCTCNTCCCCCCGTCAGCGCCCCCCCCCCTCCGTCATCTTCATCCAACTGCCCACCCCAGTGGACGCGCTTCCCTGCTCCCTGCCCGCTTCCGTGTTTCGACGTTGACGACGCCGTTTTCTCACCATCTTCGTCGTCCTCGTCTTCCTCACCCTCCTCAGAGGAGCTAACATCGTCAAGGTTAAATGATGGCGCCATCTTTCTTGAAGACGATGCCGCTGTTCCCTCCCCACTCTCACTCATGTCGCCATCGTCGTTGTCGTCGTCGTCAGAGCTACCGTCGCCCTCCGAAGCCTGGTCTGGATCGTGTGCGTCTCCTGTCGTGGCAACCGAAGCAGAGTTATTGCGCTTTTAGTGTTGCTGCAAAGGTATGGATAACTTGGGTATATCGGGAATGAAACCAAAATGCTCCCTGTATTACGGCACCCCCGTATCAGTGAAAGATGTCTTGGCTTCTCCTTCATCTTTTCTTGTGCTTTCGATTCGGTGCACTCGAGACACTGCAATAGAGAGGGAGGGGTCCCTCCCTTGAAGGGACGAAACTACAGCAGTAGGTAATCATATGTACTTGATGAAAATTGAAACCAGGCGTGGGGCGCAAAGCGTGAATTTTTTCCCTTTATCTTCAGGATGGAGAAAACGGCTCTACACATCGTGCTTTTCCAAACAACTCGATGGAGGGACCCTCCCGCAATTTCCGCCTAATTTTGGACCACCCGAATATTATCTCCTTGGTTCGACCGGAACGAGGTCTATAGAACACCCATTTACGATCTGCTGGCTTGTGAGGAGGGCGCAAGTCAGGGCATTCTTCGTCACACTGGTTTGGTCGCGCTCTAGCAACAGATGGCCGTCCTTGACAGAAATTCCTCCCAAAAATCATGAGAGATTTTTACCCCTTTCCCCGTGGCGTTGTAGAGGAAATGGAGGGACAAATAATCGGAGATCTCCCACACATACACGCAGTTGCTTGGTTCAAACCAGGAGAAACAGAGGAAGCACTCAGCTAAACACGCAACGCCGCAAGGAGTGGAAAGACGGCACTGGCAAGGGAAGGGATCCATACAACGGCCCAGCTACCGCCATTTCTCTCGCGAGAAAAACGGCGCGAGATGAGGTGTCGGTGCCGGAATCTCTAAAGTTCCTATGGTATTTGAACATCCGTGGGCGCCTTCTACCGCCAAAGGGGGACGATAGAATTCCTTCTGAGAATGGACACATTCCCTATTTCCTCGTGACAATAATTTTCATTTCGGTTGGTTCTACAGCAGTATTTAGTGCAGTCTAGCCTCACCTACTGCTGTTGCTTCGAGGCTCTTCCTGGACACCCGCTTGCCGTGGTACTCTTGCCCGATGCTCTCCATGTCGGCCGCCACGCGAAGATCCGCGGAAGGCCGGTGTTGGTTCATCTTCGACTCGCCTCCCTTGTCATAGTTATCGTCATCGTCGTACCTTTGAAGACCTGTTGGTCAAGACATTTCCGCAGTCCAGTGGGAGTTTTATGCATACTGCTACTGCTGTACAGCCTGCGGTTTGTTCCCCAATACTGGTGTAGCGGAAGGATGGAAAGGAAAAACCAATACTGTTGCAGCTCTTGTCAACGGAACATGTACCTGCTTGCAGTGCTGTGTCATGTACATGACATTTCTTCGCACAGCATGAACTACTGCCATGACGCAAGCGCTGCATAACCACCTCTTGTTCTGAAAGGGAACCTACCTGTTTGTGCTTTGCATACTGCTGGTGACATTTGCCAAGATCCAGTGAGCGAACAGGCATAGTAGGTCACGCTTCCGTGCCAATGTATCCATACAAATCCGCAGTCCTCCTGCCGGTTCGTGCACTACATTAGGTACGTCACTTCGACTTTCATGTATGTTATCGGTGCCTTTAGTGTAGACTTGTAGACGGTAAACAACATGTGGATGGGTTTGGTTCGGGGTGCGAACCACCGATCAGCTGCTGTAGACTGCACTGCTATCAACACGGCACCCATCGCCTCCATATATAATAATCTCCAATATCTACCCGACATATTTTATGCCGCTGCTCACTAAAGTCATTGATGGCTTAAAAGGGGTGCAGGCAACATAGGAGAGTCGCATGTTGACTCCTAGACAATGCTCGACCAACCAACCTCCCGTGTCCAACGAGAAGGTGTTACGGTGCTACTCGAGCCTGGTGTGCGCGGCTCACACGCTCGGGAGCAGATAAGCCCGATGGAGATTGCTGTGGTCGTGGGTACAACAGAAAACCGAAACGCTAGGCAAGATACTCCAAGGTGGACCTGTTTGCATGGCATGGCAACGGGGCTGTGCTGTTCGTACAGCCACAGGCGTAATACGTTCAATCATGTGTATCGGCCTTGCTCCGTGGCTGCAAAATCTCCGCACCTGCGCCGGTTCCGTCGTCGAAGTCAGGTGCATCAGGATTGAAGGTGGTACATGGCGCTGAGGAGGTCAACTCAGCCAGCCTGGCCGACAGCGTCTTGTTAGACTTATTCGACATCGAGAGAGACAGCAGCGGCCAGGAACCAGTCACCCGACCAGTTTTGCAGTGCTGCGGCTGCCAGCCAGCGGAGGACGGAGGGCGGAGGGCACCTTGTGGTGAGAATGGGTTTCAGTCTAGTTCGTGAGGCGTTATTGGTTATGATCTGAAACGGTCGACACATTCTGAGTGTCTAGACGACTGGACCGACCAACCAAGCAGCGTAGACCTAGGGCTGATGTGGCCAGCTGGATGCATCGGACCTAGGGCCTAGGCAATCATGAGCGTAGACCCAGGATTATGAGAGGAAGCCAGTAACATATGTTTGTGCATTTCATTGGATTAAGTGCAACCAATCAGATGGTTGTGTAGTAGGAGAATCGCAGACCACGGACTGACGTGCGACTGTTTGTAACGCTTGGTTGCAGTTGGACCGTCCGGAAGCTTGGCTCCGTTAAGCCTCGCACATGAATCACTCATAAAGCTTTGCCCTCAGTCTCACCGAACAGAGCTGTTTGCAAGATTGCCGAGAGTCAATAAGACACCCCAAACAACCACCGTGCCGAACACAAAGACGCTTGAACACAAGCGCTGCACTTCTGACAAGGCTGAGCCTGTTAGCAAGGAAGAGGCAGAACCCGTACCCCAGAGTACCAGTTCTCTCCACAGTGGCGTCGTCGGCAGGACGCTTTATCTAGCTTGCTTGTGCGTCGAGTGTCCACGGTTGGGGTTGTCTGAAAATCGGCACCCAGAACACCAGCGTTCTGTGCGATTGTCGATACGCACGACGTACCGCTAGGGTACCGTGCAACGGGGCTGAGGCCGCCGAGACTACCGCTACCCCCGAAGACGGGGGCGTGTGCCGTTCGCCATCAAGGAGCATTCCCAAGCGGAGTGACACCTGGCTTTCGACCGTTCAGAACGACGATGAAGCCCGCGGCAAACGATCCGAGTAGTGGGGCGGCGTCCTCGCCCAGGGCGGGATCGGCCCCTGGGGGTGTGCGCACCCCGTCGCCCAGGAGACAGCGAGCGAGGCGCGCAGGTGGGTCTCGTGTAGAGGGTCCGGTGACCCGGGCACAAAGCGCGCGCCTCCAACGTGGATCTCGTGGTACCGAGGGTCCGGTGACCCGCTCGCGTACGAAATCTCGCACACCCGTGACGCTAGGGTCGTTCGTCCCTTTGTCCCAACCAGTCGCGTCCCCGCCCGCACGTGTCTACCGCTCGTCGCGTGTTACCGCGTCGCGGTCGGACTTGGCGGCCTTGTCAGGTTCCGAGGAGGACGACGCGGGCGAAATCGCGGTCGGGTCCGGCGCCGCGAACTCGTCGGCGGAATCGGCCACTTCCGGTTCGGCGTCTGAGAGCGAGAAGGAGGCCGGTGCCCGCGTGGTGGTAGCCACGGCGGTCGCGGCGGCGGCGGCCAGGGAGGCGGCGGCCCGCGTCGCCAATGAAGGTCCCGGGGCTGCGGCTCTGGAGCACCAGGGCGATGGTTACCTGTCGGCTCAGGTGAGAGGGTTCGAGCGGCCGTCTCCCGCAGTAACGGCTGTTGGGGGTATTGTTGCCGGTTGGTCGGTGCAAGACCGAGAGCAGTTGCTCGCGGAACTGCTGGGTGCACGCCAGTCGTATGGTGATCCGGATTTGCAGGCCACACTGCAGCTGGCCCGTGACATTAGTGTTGGGGATGCAGACTCGGACCCGGAATGGGCGAAGTCTGTGGCGCTAGCCCAGGCCTTGGAGGATGCCGAGCTCGCTCTAGAAGCACATCGCCGAGCGATTGTAGATGGTCGTTCTTCCCCGAGCACGGTCCGCGTTAAATCCAAACAGTCCAAAACGTCGAAATCGAAACCGTCGGTGTCCCAATCGCGTTCTCGTCGTGCGCCGGTTTCGCGTGACATAGATGTTCACGCACACAATCGCTTCGCGGTCCTTGCGGCGCCCGATTTACGGCAGGTTGCGGAAGGTGCCGAGGAGTCCGCCTCGTCCTCGCCGGGGTCGTCGACGTCGTCGCGCCCTGCCCGACCGGCTGCGGCCGGAGTCGGGAAAGCAAAGGCTACCACGCTAGCCGGGGATGCGGTTGCGGTGCGCTCCGGAAAGGTTGGAGCGGGCGCTACTGGGTCGCCCCGTGCGCCGGCGGGCGTGCGGAACGAGCGGACGGCACCACCTGTTATTGCGCGCTCGACCCCTCCGACGGTTGAGGAGTACGACGCGCAGCTCGTCTCTTTCAAAACACGGAAGGAGGCACAGGCGACTGTGGCGGCGCAGGTTGCCGAGCTCGGTGCGCGGCACCGGAAGGCACAGCACCATTGGGAGCGCCTCGACGCGGAGGACCGCCTCCAACATGCACGCGTCCGTGCGGATACGCGCAAGTTGGGCACGGCGGTTCAAACACAGAGGGAAAAGGTGGAAAAGATGTGGCAAGACCTGCACGCGGCGCAGCAAGTGCGCGCGACGATCGAAGCGCAAATCGCCGACGCCCGGTCGTCGCTGGGCATCTTAGAGGCCCGCTACCGCGTGACGCAGGACGAACAGAGCGCTGCCCGGGGTGCGCGGGAACGGGAAGTGGCTGCGGCCAAAACAGCGGCCGATGCGCTGGCTAAGGAGCTTAGCGAGGCTTCTGTGCAGCAGCGCCGCACGCGGGGCGAGCATACGGAGCGCCTGGCGGAGGAGGAATCTGCGGCGAGAGCCCGTGGTGCGTCTGTTCTTCCGGCCCAACAGCACCCCACCGACGAAGAGGTGAGAGACGGTTGCGAGAGGCGCGAGCGCCAGCACACCGCGGACGTTGCCCTGCTCGAAGAGGCGGGCGCGGATCTTCCTGGGTTGGGGAGCGCTGCCGTACCGGCCCGAGAGGAAACCGGCGACTCGGTGTCTCTCGCCAGGGAAGTCGCCACCATCATGGCACAGGGGTCCGGCTTTACGTTCGATCAGGCCATGAAGATGGCGCTAGCGACCAAGAAACGCAAGGACTGCCCGCCATCCAGCGGATCGGAGGACGGTGGGTACCGCCGCGGAGGTGGGGGTCGCCGCGGTAGTCACGGCGGACGGGCCGGTCGGGGCGATCGCGGTGGTGGTGCCCGTGGACACTCCGGTAGGAAGCAATACCGCGGCGGAGACTCCAGTGACGGGTGGTCTGCGTCGGACTCAGGTAGCGAGTACCGCGGTGGAGGACGCAGTCAGCGCCAGGGCCGTGGTGGCGGTGGCGGACGTCACTGGTCAGGCAAGGAGACGGCGGGACGCCAGCATTCTGTTGAGAGCGGTGACTCAGACGGACATGGCCGCGGGTTTGGGGGCCGCGCGCGTGGCTCTCGCGGACGTGGAGGCCGTGGCGGACGCAACAGGTATGAGTCCGACGGTAGCGGTAACGAAGACGAGGAGACTCGTTTCGTAGGGAGACACGGTCAGGTGTCCCTTGAGGCCGTGCCGGTTGTGCGTAATACTGTTGCAGAGCATCGTGTGTGTGTCGATTCCGCGACGACGGTTGCGCCGGCTACGCCTGTAGGTGACGTAGGCCTGGACTCGTTTACTTATGTCAAACCCGAGACTCCCAAACCGCGTGTGCCGTTGTCCACGGTTACATCCGCGGTTAAATCTGAAAAAACATCTGGTGTACGCACGAAGGTTAAACCTGAAGCGGTTAAATCCGAAACCGTGAACACCGAAGCTCGTAGGCCTAAAGAGGAATTGCCGCCGAGCACAGGACGGACGGAGGAGTCCTTGCCTGTCGCACTTTCTTCATCCAGAGACGTAGAGTCCGAGCGCAAAATCCAGGGTCGTTTCGCGATCATGGCTATTAAAAATTTAATAGTTATGCCGCTCTTGCCGCTGCAGAACGACAGCGACGTGGTTGAACTTGTGCAGTTGTCAACTGCCATCACGAAATCGGTAGATCAGATTCGTGTTAGTGCTCAAGACTTTGCCCAGGATCATTGGGTCCGAGGTTGGGAAAATGTGCTTGAACGACACCTGATCAACGCTGTGCGGAAAAATCACCCTGATTCTGCCCACACCAAGCAGATTCTAGTGGCGGCAATAACACAAGCGAGAAGGGCTATGGATGCGGAGACCAGCGGTCCTGACGCCCTGACGATGGTCCTGCGATCGGTCTGTGGTGGACTGAGCAAAGTGACGTCGGCGTTGGTGCTGCAGCAGCTGCAGAATTTCGCGGTTCCCGCAGGCACCACCTTCAAGGCGTACCTTGAAGAACTGAAGGTGCTCGTTGAGAGCGTCCAACTGGTTGGGTTTGCTGAGGATGGAACTTTGCAAGTAGCTGTAAAAGCTGGCGTGACAGACCAGTTTGCCACCTTGACTGCTCCGGTGTTTCATGGTAGAAACACGCAAGCTCTGCCGTACGATAACTTAGACGATCTCATGGCGGCTTTGGAAGACATGATAGAGAACACAACCACAGCTACTTCGTCCACGCGTGTGCGGGGCATCGGGTCTGCTGTGTCTCGAGGACCAGTTGTTGCGTCGGGTGGAACGCGGGGCCGATATGGGGGTGGTTCATATTCGAGTACACAGCCGAATGTCTCCTCCCAGTCTTCGCCCGGAACAATAGGGTCGCGGAATGTGGTCATGTCTGTAGCACAATTTGATGATGAAACACGTGAATTTTGTCAAGTCAATCAAGTGCTACGCCAAAGAGGGTTTGGCCCTAATAATGATGAGCCTCCTTTTTATGTTCAGTTTGCAAGTCCGCAGGAACGGGACAAAGCCCGGCGTGACTTTGGGCCAAGATGTCTAAACTGTGGGGTGGAGACCCCCTTTCACTTTGCGAGAGAGTGCAAAGAAAAACTCTTAAATGTCTCCGGATTGATACATCCAGATATTGCCATCGGTGATCCAGCCACCGTCGAACAGAATTGGCGAAAGTGGCAACAACGATTGACCTCATGGGCGGAAACGCAAAGAAAGAAAAAGTTTCCTAGGGGTCATCAAGGATGACGGCCCGACAACAAACCGGCCCGTTTGTTGGCGGCAGCGCGGCCACCAAATCACTATGTGTCTCAAGATGTGCGTGTGACTTTAGGTGTGGCAAATGTGGGAGAAAACAATGCAACTCCACAGAACAAAGAAAACAAAAAGATCAAGTTCGTGTTGCACGCCACGAGTCATGATAACAGGCTCGATGAAGAGACGGCCTCCAACGGTAACAATGGTGTTGAAGTTGTACCACTCGAGCTCCCCGAGACAGGAAGTAATTACCCCTGTCCAGACCCGAGTACACAAACCGATACATTGGAGTGCACAACTTCCATCGCGGGGGTTGACCGTCCGAGTATTGTAGTTGATCGGAATAGGCCCCCGACTAACTCAATTGTTCGAAGCGAAACTTCCACAAGAACGCAAGGTTCGGATGTTTCGAGTGTAGTAGACAAAGGGAAAACGCACACGTCGTCACTGTCTTTAGCTACAGGGGTTATGAGTGGACCCCCTTCGTTAGGCCAGGCGAAGAGTATACCCCCCACAGGTCATGTTCACACTCGGGGAGGTTTTTCCATGGGGCGAGCAAGGCAGTCGTCGAAGGTGACTGGATTCCTGGGTAGAGGAACGCCACGTACTGCCGGCTCAGCAGGTTCCCGCACGGCAACACTAAAGGCAAGTGTTGGCGTTGATTCTGCGCAAAGTGGTTTGGCTCATGAAAGCATCGACGAATGCGAAGCGCAAACCAAAGGGAGAGTTGATCAGTGCAGCAGAAGTGCAAGTGCTGGAAACTCAGCAGGTACCCTGTCTCCAATAGTTGAACCTAATATTGGTGATGATTCTGCAGAAATCAGTAAAGATTTTATTCCACATGCGAATGATGAAGACAACATATTCGCGTTGAATAATAATCAGGAAAAACTTGCCGCCAAAATCGCGCGAGGTAAGGTGTTTCCTCCTCCCAAGGTATCCCTTAACCCGGGGGAAAGAGCGGACTATTTGCAAGAATTTTCGCGAGTTGTAGGAGGTGATGTTACTCTTAACAGAAGTAATCATACTGCCGCAGTGTCCATGTTTGTGGGATCCAAAGCGACTCAAACATTTGGATGTGATGCATTGTTGGACACGGGAAGTCCAGCGTCATTTGTGAAAGAAAGTACGCTTACACAAATGCTTGCATGCGGAGCAGCATCCTCTGACGGGATCAAAAATGGAAAACAATTGCAATGGGGAGGCTTTAATGGAGTCCCATTGAAAACATCGAAACGGGTGAGACTTAACGTGCATATGTGGCGAGGTGGTCGCTACGCACCACGAAACATAGGCTCTTGCACAGCCTGTTTAGCAGTATTCGCTAATGTGGTGCCAGACAATGCTATGTCTCACGCTGTTTTATTGGGTCGTGACAGTTGGGAAGAATTCCCTCAACGAAAATATGTTGACGTTAACGATGATGAAACAATAGTTACCTTTGCGGGAGCTATTGCAAATTCACCTGCAACAGATCCTGCTTTTGCAGCATGGGTTGATGCAGCGGTGAGTTTGGTGGAACCTGAGTCCACTAACAGAGTCATTGTGAGATACGCGGGTACACAAATGAGTTTGCCGGATGCACTATCCTGGGTAACAGTGGAATTGACGAATTCCGATGGTACTGCCGCTGATAACGGTTCATATTACGTGCGTTTTGCCGATGGTTGGTCCCCGCAGGAAGCCATCGTTGATGCTGGAATGTCTGACATTCCGTTACATCGCACGGGGGAAGAAAATTTCCAAGTTCAGCAAGGAATGCGGTTGGGAACTGGCGGAGCCAAGTTGGAACTCGGTGTGGTTGAAGAACTACCGAAGTCTGGCATCGATGAGCTTGTAGGAACAGTGGTGGAAGATGTTCCAGGTGTGCGCATTAAAGATCCGCCTGAAGATGTACTGTGTTGTTTGGATGCGGACCAGCAACTAGCTTTCAGGAATTTGTGGGACAAGATTCCAGTACATCTACAGACCATTAAATTCGATTTTGCGGCTGCATTATGGTCACCGAAAGATATAAGAGACCTTGGGGATTTGCTTTGTGCGATGGAAGATCGTTTTTCAAAACATCCGACGGATATGGGATACGTGACTGTAGATCCTTTCCGAATAATCCTCAAGAAAGACGCACAGCCTGTTAAGCAAAGACCTTACAGGCATTCGCCTGTCATCGCAGCAAAGGTGCAGTGCGAAATTGATCGTTTGTTACTGGCAGGAATATTGCGGAGGTCATATTCTGCTTGGTCGTCTCCGTTGGTTGTGGTGGCAAAAGCCAATGGAAAAATTCGGTTAACTTGCAATTACAAGAAAGTTAACCAGCAATCGATCATTCCGGTGTTACCGTTGCCGACGGTAGCTGATTTATTGTCAGGATTGGAGGGTGCGAAAGTGTTTAGTACAATGGACTTGATCTCAGGATTTTTCCAGTGTGCAATTCACCCTGACAGTATTCCGATTACAGCTGTTTGCACAACTTTCGGTAACTACGAGTGGACTCGGTGTCCCATGGGGTTGGCTAGTTCCCCAGGATGGTTCCAAAGCATTATGTTGCGTGTATGCGAAGGGCTTGAACGATGTAAGCTGTTCATCGATGATATTGTTATTTTCTCTAAAAGCGGGAAAGAACATGTCGTTGATATGACACAATTTTTCGAGCGGTTAAAGAGATTTAACCTTAAACTCGCACCTAAGAAAACTTGCCTGGGTGTTAAGGTTGTCAAGTTTCTAGGACACGAAGTCACTGCGAAAGGTCTAAAACCAGACCCAGCTAAAGTGGCTAGTTTGCAACGAATTCCTATGCCAACGAACGTTAGCCAGCTGAGGTCACTCTTGGGTGGGCTGAGCTACTATCGAAGTTTCCTTCCAAATATGGCAGCTCAAACGCGTCCGTTAAACAATCTCTTGAAGAAGGGTACCAAGTTTGTTTTTGGCACGGAACATGTGGAAATCGTACAACGGTTGATGGATAAACTGTCTAGTCCGGACGTGTTAGCCTTTCCGAATTATCGAGATGCGATATCGGGGGTCAGAAAATTTCGTGTTATCACGGATGCGTCCCAGGATGGATTGGGTGCAGTTATAGAACAAGATCAACCTGATGGCACAACCAGACCTTTGTGTTTCTTGAGCAGATCTACTCTTCCTAATGAGAAGCAGTGGACACCAACGGAACTTGAATGTGGTGCTTTGGTCTGGGCGATTAAAAAGAACCGTCAATATTTCTATGGTATACCTTTTGAGGTAGTCACCGATCATCAGCCATTGTTAAACCTGGAGAGTTTGTCCTCTAAGGTTAATCGCGTACAACGATGGTTTGATTTTCTGTCTGCATATACGTACACGTTACAATACAGGCCCGGCAAAAAGAATGGCAACGCGGATATGATGTCCAGATTACCGCTGCCTGCAACATCACAAGACTCCAGTCCTGCACTTCGATTGACTGACCCAGAAGACGTCGATGTGTACTTCTTGGATGCAAGCGGTGAGTTGCCTGCAAATGTGCAAACCGGTGAAACATATGTGTCAAGCTTGGGTGGGCTCGCGGAGGGTGAACCCCGGGTATTATTTTCGGAGGGAGAGAGTAGAGAAGAGATCGAAGCAATACCTGAACCCGAAGATGACATGATGCCATACGAAGAGTGGGACAGTCAAGAAGCACGAAACTTTGGAGAAAATCTCTGCAAAAAGAAGGCTGCAGATTGGGCTGAAGCTCAGGGGAAAGATGTCACTGTGAAAACGGCAATAGCGTTTTTACAGAAGGGAACAGTGATGCCCGAAGTTTCGGTGGATAATCTACCAATAGGTGCGGATTTTGATGAAATAAAAAGAATATTGGCACAAGGCGAACTCTTGGAGTTACCTGATGGACAGAAATTGTTGGTCAAGAAGTTAACCACAATGCCCGCTGAACGTCCTAACAGGAATCCTGGGGAGTACGAACGACTATTGGGAGAAGAGCCTGTTCGTACCTACGTGCCGATGCTATTGAGACCATGGGTGATGGACTGCGCTCACAAGGAAGCGATCCACCTAGGTGAGAAGGTTACTCTCGGAATCCTGAAACGGTATTATTGGTGGATAGGGCAGAGTCAAAGTGTAAAGTGGTGGTGCCGAGCTTGCTACGCATGTCAAGCGCGGAAGACTCCGAGGCATACTAGAAGATGGCCCCTAGTATCTTTATCTTTGCCGAGTAGGCCCGGTGAAATGGTGGCCTTTGATTTCTTGGGACCTCTACCACAAACTAAGAAAGGAAGACAGTATGTGTTTCTGGTGGTTGATCTGTTTAGCAGGTATGCTGAAGCATATGCATTAACCGCTGCAGAAAAGACAGCTCAGGGATGTTCCGCAATACTGGTGCAACAGTATATCCCTAGATGGGGTTGTCCGCACACATTTCTGTCTGACAGAGGGGCAGAGTTTACCGCACCCGTAAGCAGGGAGATATACCGGATGCAGGGAACGGTGAAAATGTTTACTAGCTCATATCACCCACAGACGAATGGCATGGTGGAACGTCTGAATCATACCCTATGTCAAATGCTGTCTCATCTAATTGCAGATGACCAGAAGAATTGGGATGAATACTTGAGTACTGCAATTGCAGCACACAATAACAACATGAGCAGGGGAACCGGATTATCTCCTAATGAGATCCACATAGGTCGATATACCAGATTACCGATGACGATCTTGGAAGGTCGTGGGGTGAAGGGTCACCAGAGCTTTAAACAAGATCAGCTAGACTATCTCGAATTAATGAGGGCTAGACAAGTTAAAGCCTATAATCTGGTTAAAGAGGAAGACCGATTGATCAAAGCTAAACACGCTAAGGCTAATGAAGCTTTGGTGAAGGAGCTCAAAACCAGGCGCCCTAAAATTGAGGCGAACGATTGGGTGTGGTTATATAATGATCAGAGCACTATAACTGGAGGAGGGAAACATGTGCTGAAACCTCAAACAATCAAGTCTGGAGAGAGAAAGTCCTTTGCTTTGGTGTCCAAGTTGGCATACTGTTGGACTGGACCATATCGGGTGTTATTTGTTGGACCTGGAACCGCGCCTGATGGCAGAGAAGTGGGGCCTAAACTGGTGCTCTTAGATGTACGAAAGGATGAACCTGGAAAAGACATAACGTCTCGGGTATCTGTATTGAGGGTGAAGAAATGTTTTAACCCCCATTCAGAGGATGACAAACCAAGGTTTTTACCGTGGGCCATGAGTAATTATGTTCTGAACAAATACTCTGAGTTATCACCTCCTTTCCATCTTACGGGTGAAGACGTGCAGATAAACTTGGACACGTACCGTAATGTGCCATGGAAAATATCCAAGCATCGGTTGGTGCGAGGATTGTCAGGAAAGATTGCGGTTCAATATTACACACATTGGGACGAAACCGAACTGTGCACTTGGGAGCACGAGGAGGAATTGAAACAGTACGGTAATTTCGTTATGAGGTATTGGACGGGAAAGATCGAGTTGGTCGGTGGTGAAAACGCGAAGTACCGAAGGTATCGTGTCCAATGTGCAAAAAGAGCCGAGGCCAGGCTTAATGGTGGAAGACATGTACCTGATGGGTTTAAAGTGTGCTGCGATACGCGTGAGCGGCCAACCCTATATGGCACTGATATTATCGGGTCTTACATTTATTTCAAAACCCGCGATTTTGGATGGCAGATCGCGAAGGTGATCATGGTGGCGGAGGATGGTGAGAGCGTGGAGAACCCACACACCGTGAAGTTCTTGGATCTTGCGAGGCAAGAGAATGTACACCTGAGTTTAGAGACTCTGAAGACATTCGATGAAGAACCGGGAACTTGGTGCTGGCATGTACACACCAGGTTAAGGGGGCGAGACAGCGTTAAGAGTTTCCGGTACACACTGGATTGAAGACGGAAGAAGATCGTCGACAAGAAAGAGCACTCAAGACGAAGAAGATCATCGACCAGAACACTCAAGATTGAAGAAGATCATCGACGAGAACTGAAGATGGAGGTTTCGAATAATTGTTCAGGGTTCTGAGATTTATACCCTAACAATTGTTTTAGTTCAAGAGGGCTTTGGTATTTGTTTTATATGTGTGTGTTTGATGTTGGTTGTACTTCTGTTGGGAAGTCTGCCTGTGAGTGTGTGTGTTTGATGTTGTGATGTGTCTGACGAGTTTTATGTAAATAAATCGATGCGCAAGAATAGTGGAATGAGAGACTTGGCGATAATTTTGTGTTTTGTTTTGAAGAAAATTTGAATGTGTTAGGATATACTTTGTGTGTGAAGTGGACGAAAACATCTACCATCTCACTTGACTTTGTGTTGTTCATAAGCGAAATCATCTAGTAGATTTACTTATGATCAGGGTGGGCTGATGTGGTGAGAATGGGTTTCAGTCTAGTTCGTGAGGCGTTATTGGTTATGATCTGAAACGGTCGACACATTCTGAGTGTCTAGACGACTGGACCGACCAACCAAGCAGCGTAGACCTAGGGCTGATGTGGCCAGCTGGATGCATCGGACCTAGGGCCTAGGCAATCATGAGCGTAGACCCAGGATTATGAGAGGAAGCCAGTAACATATGTTTGTGCATTTCATTGGATTAAGTGCAACCAATCAGATGGTTGTGTAGTAGGAGAATCGCAGACCACGGACTGACGTGCGACTGTTTGTAACGCTTGGTTGCAGTTGGACCGTCCGGAAGCTTGGCTCCGTTAAGCCTCGCACATGAATCACTCATAAAGCTTTGCCCTCAGTCTCACCGAACAGAGCTGTTTGCAAGATTGCCGAGAGTCAATAAGACACCCCAAACAACCACCGTGCCGAACACAAAGACGCTTGAACACAAGCGCTGCACTTCTGACAAGGCTGAGCCTGTTAGCAAGGAAGAGGCAGAACCCGTACCCCAGAGTACCAGTTCTCTCCACAACCTCCCATTTTTTTTCCTATTCGCGGTTCTCGAGGCATTCTTTTTCAACAGGCGGCAGGATGGATTACGGTTCGGCATCGGAGACCTTGGCCGAGATCTACGGACTTAGACTTCGGACCTTCGGAGACTCCGAACCTTCGGAGACTCGGAGACGTTGCCCGTTGGTTGCCCTTTGCTCGAGCACCGAGCAAGCCAGTCGTACGCGAAGCGCGAAGCTGCTGCAAGCGCGCCCACGAGAACTTCGGCTACTGCTGTATGCGTGGTCCGTAATTAAGTCGACACCACGTGAACGCGCAGTCAGCAGCGGATGCACGTACATATGTTCATGACTGCTGCTGAATGTATAGACTAGTTAGGTAACACGATTTTCAAGCTCTAGACTATAGCTCCAAGACGACGAGGGTGCCAAATCAAGCATGTTTTCGGAAATATCTCAAGAGACGGACGGTTCCAACGCCATCACTTGGAGAGAAAAAGCTTGTCCTGCTGTGAAGTGAGATATCGAGCTATGGAAATCGATACAGGCGGGGGGTGCGACAATTGTCTTGCGTGTGGTGTCGCCGACGATGTGGTCAGGGCTTAGCGAGATGAGGCTCACGTCTTTCACCTTCTTCCGTTGCTTCGCACACACTGATCACGAAGGTACGTTTTGGCCTGCAAGGGTCCCCCCATCCCCACGTCAAAGGACGGCTGCACCTTTTCTAACGGGCCGACGCGCGGCCGCACAGAAACATGATGTTTCGTGGTGCTTTGAATGTCTAGCCGAAACTCCCAGTATCCCTTGTTTCGGGGTGCAGCCGACGGTACATCCACCACGAGTGGTTAACTCGACACCTTCGCAACACGTTGGTGGATCCTTCCCTTCCAAGTAAAATTTCTTGGCTGACCTGCAGCGCATCTTGATTGCGCTACATCTAGCTCTTTGCTCCCCCCCCACTCACAGATGGATTGGTTTTTGAGTTTGCCAGGCACATGTAGACGCGCTGAGTGGGGATAGCTACATACTGAAACCTCACGAGTTGAGTGATATTGGATAGTGCCGGACACATTGACGCTTTGAGTGAGGATGGCTGCATATTGAGGCCTAACGGGTTAAGTGACGTTTGCGACTGCCGGACACATAGACGCGTTGAGTGACGAAAGCTGCATACTGAAACATCACAGGTTGATTTGTATTGAAGATTGCCGGACACATAGACGCGTTGAGNTTTGAGTGAGGATGGCTGCATATTGAGGCCTAACGGGTTAAGTGACGTTTGCGACTGCCGGACACATAGACGCGTTGAGTGACGAAAGCTGCATACTGAAACATCACAGGTTGATTTGTATTGAAGATTGCCGGACACATAGACGCGTTGAGTAAGGATAGCTGTATACAGAAAATCCACAGTAGCTATAATGAGGGGAAAACTCGAGAATGCAGTACACATGGACCCGACCCCCAACCAGGGCCCGAACCCCTTCTGAACAATAGAGGCCATGCGCCCCCCCCCCCTCTCTACCTCCCCTAGAGGATGAGGAGGGTACATTCCAAAGTAAGCACAAGCTTACCTAAGGTTAATGCCGATTGGTACGGCATTTAAAAAAACACTCAAGTCCCCCATTGGGCGGTGGAGGACTTAGACCTAAGACACCCCAAAGCTCTCCGGCGTGAGATCCAAAATGGATCGGACGGTGGAGGGGGGGGGGGTGTTCGTTGCTTGAAGTGGATCGATAAAACATAGAGCCATCAAAGCAAAGCTTATTACTCACGTCGAGCAAGCTGAACGACCAGACCAACCAAGGAAAAAACTGCGGAGCTAGATGTGGGGCACGCACAATACATTGTTTTCGATTGGAGAGGGGCGAGTATAAAGCAGTAAGGAATTGTTGGCCAAACTTTTGGCAGATAGGTCAACTCGGGAGCGTAAGTGGGGTAGCAACCCATGGCGGAGCGTACACGAGAAGCTGGACGTTGGTGTACGCTCCATCCCGGCGTGTGAGTAGGATCTTAGGCTATGCAAGTCGTCCCGCGGTGAAAATGACCTCCCAGGAGGAAAGTAGCCTGAACAGCGGGATTTCGGAGATGATAAATTGGGTGGTCGGGGGCCGTCTGGGTGTTTACTAAGCAGAGCGCCCGGCATAAGACTGGGGTACTTGTGTCAGGAGGTGTGAACTTGGATCTAGACTACGAGCCTATGTTGGAGGCGCTATTTAGCGTCGGTGAGCCGGCAAAAGAACTGAAAGGAACCACAACCCCCGCCGGACACTCGGATTAGGAAGGCCGAGTATTCCGCATGCCTTCCTGCAAAAACACGAAAAACAAGTGGCCATGGTCCAGTTGCCGTAGAGATCATGAGGATGGTGAAGAAGCTTGGAGGATGGAAGCAGAAACTGTGGAAGGGAGACAAGTTGGAGCTGCTGCTGTTTGGGATTCCAAGGGACATGACGAGAATAGAGTTCAAGAACTGTTGTGACAGGGAGGGACTGCACTGCCTAGCA